TAAATGTCCGAATATAAGAATTGAATACTGTTTTCTGTACACTACATGTTTGTTTGGGTCAGTTAAGAATTAGCACCTAATTAGGCCTATTAATGAAATACAACGGTACACGAACATTCACATGTATGTTTTATTTATATTTTGACATTAACATAGGCCTTTAACACTCAATATTATTTTTATAAACATAAGCCAATAAACAGCTTCCACACATAAAATAACAGTAGGCCTAACCAAAAAAAAATTAATAAAATACAAAACAAGATTTATGCAAGATTAAAAAAATTAAACTATACAGAAGTCGCCGCCCGGCAAGCAGACAAGGCCATACTTTAAACTGGCATCCAGGCACTCCATCGAACGTCCTATTGTTAGCATCTCAACTGACCCACTTCAGTCAGAGCGGCGCTCAAAGCAAATTTCTATAGACCACGGAGGAAAGTTCTTTCCTCCATGTATAGATCAACACCAGCCACACAGTCAGTGACATTTGTCACGTGATGTTGCGTACTCTGTTGGACGATCACATCCAAACACACGAGGTACCCAATATTAATTGTACAGTAGTTGCATAGGCCTAGTTGCTGTATATAATATATATAATTGATGCCTATGTTTAATAATAGAGAAAATAGATGTTCTATTTTCTCTATAGTTTATTGAATGATGTTTGGCGAATACTGGCGTCCATTTGTGTTCCCATGTGATATGTGTGCAGGGAGTTGATAAATGTTTTTTTCGTTCGTCGTCAGCTTCTTAGCTGGTAGGCTGCTATTTAACGAAGATAGGTCTTTCCGACAGCGAACGGCAATTAGGCCTACATGCATGTGCTGCCATTATTGTCATTTACCACTTAATTTAACTATTAGGACTATGCAGCCTTTAAACTTTTAACTTGGTTCATTTCAAAGTAAAACTTGTTCAGTATTTTAAATTGTACAAAAACGGTAGTTCAACCGGGGCCTGGTCTAACGACACAGATGCGTTTGTCGCCCAAAACAATAGAAACAATGGCAAACGCGTTCAACAGCACAAAACCGTTTAGACGCGTCTGGGACATATTCCGACTAGCTTATTAATATCCATGAGGCACGATAATTAGACGATCGCTTTCCCAGATGCGTTTGTAATACATGGTTTTCCCAGACGCGTTTCTGCCGTTGGGGATAATTTGTAGATCGCGCCACAGGTAAGTACTCATTTATCAATGGTTAACTGCCACCAGCATGCTACATGTTATTACACCTCACCTGGACAGGTAGTGTTCATCCATCAATGGGTAACTGCCACCAACATTCTACATGCTATTACACTACACCTGGACATGTAAACACACATCCATCAATGGGGTACTGCCACCAACATGATACATGTTACTACACCTCACCTGGACAGGTAAGTACTCATTTATCAATTGGTAACTGCCACCAACATTCTACATGCTATTACACTACACCTGGACAGGTAAGTACTCATTTATCAATAAGTTACTGCCACCAACATGCTACATATTACTACACCTCACCTAGACAGGTAAGTACTCATTTATCAATTGGTAACTGCCACCAACATTCTACATATTACAACTTGTGTGGCTAGGTAAGCACTCATTCATTAATGGGTAACTGCCACCAACATGATACATGCTTTTACACCTCAACTGGACAGATAAGCACTCATTCATCAATGGGGAAATGCAACCAACATGCTGCATGCTAGTACACCTCACCTGGGCAGATAAGCACTCATTCATTAATGGGTAACTGCCACCAACATGCTATATATTATTACACATCATCTGGACAGGTAAGCACTCATTCATCAATGGATAATTGCTACCAACATGAAAATGACGACATCACAACTGACTTCAAAGATTATTATTACTTCAACCCTTATTATCACTATTGTTTTTATTATTTTGTTATTGAATTATATTTTCAACCAAATAATTGTAATTAATGTAAAGTTTGTATCCAACCAATGCTGTATTCCAAATTTTATAATAATAATTATAATTAATATTGTTTTGTAAAAACTCTATAATTGTTTCAGAATACTTGTGCATGTAATGAAGGATATATTGGAGATGGATATGATTGTTCACTTACAAATTCCTGCACTGGTCTCTGTCATCCACAGGTATATATTACAAATTTGTGAGGGTGGGAGTTGGTAAGTGAGGGTGAGAGATGATAGGTGCAAGTGGAGATGATGTGAGGTGGGAGATGATAGGTGATAGTGGAAAGTGAGAGATGATCAGTGGACCTTTCCCAATGTATGCATTACACAATGTAAAAACATGGTCTCTTTTTTGTAATAATCACTGCAAGATCTATTTTAAAACTTATTTTCATGATTTCTAATTATTTATGTAGGCTACATGTGAAGACATAGAGGGTGTGCCACATTGCATTTGTGGAAATGGTTACCATGGAGATGGAATCGTCTGCTACAGCAACATTGCTATTGTGAGTTGTAATTTAAATGAACTAATCATGCAACTAATATTTCAAATGTAAATATTTTGAGCTATATTTACAGGTATCTTCTTTCATATTTAAAAAAAAAATTTCATGCCACTGTACAGATTTTAATTTTTGTGTAGTAAGGGTCATCATTTTTATATAGGCCTGTCCCCATTCATGAAAAAAAAAAGTCAGTCATAAATTACAGAAAGAAAAGCACATTATCTAGGCCTAGGCCTAGAGTTTTTTATTCAGCAGCCTGATATCTGCAAGCCATTGCATTGCACTGTAATAACTATGACCCTGTGCTAGAAGAAGAAATGTTTGATCAATCTGAGTGCATTGGCTAAACAGTGGCTAGCGCTGACCAGTCGAATATGTAGAGAGGCTGACGTAGAATCTAAAACATTAGCCTTTTTTTCCCCATTTATTATTTTTGCTCAGTTTATTCCTGTATACTGTAAGTGTCTCTACAATGCAGTGATCAGTCTTCATGTGTACATTGAATGAATCATTTGTTAAAGAGACAAAATCAATGGCTCATTTAGTTTTGTGTTTGTAGTAATATATTTTAATTAAAAAAATTATGATCAAACAGCACTTATAGTGTGCCATCTATCTAACATGCTATTCCGAGGCGCAGTGACTCTAGCCCAAAGAGTGGATTTATTTTCATATTATTTTCACAGTTTCAGGTGTTTGAGTGATTTTCATTAATTTATATGTTTATTTTTTAGGAGATAGCTAGTAATTCAATACTGATCAATTTCAATAACTTACTAATGGTAAGTCTAAAACAATTATTCATTTGGTTACTGACACAGACTATTGTTTCCATAACTGACACAGACCAGTTCTTTGATTACTGACACAGACCAGTGCATTGATTACCGTCATAGATAAGTTCTTTAATTAGTGACATAGACTATTGTTTTCATAACTTGCATAGACTATTGTTCTCATAACTGACATTGACCAGTACTTTGATTACTGACACCATCAGTTCTTTGATTACTCACACAGACCAGTGCTTTGATTACTGTCAGACCAGTTCTTTAATTACTGAAACAGACTAGTGCTGTGATTACTGACATAGACTATTGTTATCATAACTGACATAGACCAGTTCTTTGATGACTGACGCAGACCAGTTCTTTGATTACTGACATAGAACAGTGCTTTGATTACTCTCATAGACCAGTCCTTCGATTACTGACATACAGTGTTGCTTTGATAGAAAACCTAGGTCACTATTCCTTTTTAGGTTTTTAGGGTGGGTTACAGTTACAGTATGGCTTTCTGATAGAGTACTGGGTCGCTATTAGAAAGCATAAATTATACATTTTCAGATAAATTTTCATGCACTGCTTTTATACCTCTTTATGCTTAGTTTTAATAACACTTTTTACAGATTATCGGTGTCAGGTCTGTAAAAACATGTGGGTTTTAAGCCAAATGTGGTTGGTTGCAGATGTAGGGTTTGGTGCAGTCCGCAACAAAATTGCCATCCGGCCACACTTTGCCCACCTGTGCTACAAAGTGAAAATGTTTATGTGGCTGTGTATCTTTCATTTTGTTTAGAGTTTTGAGATTTCTTGGGTCATTACTAAAGAATAAATTTTAAGGTGGGTTATTATTAGAGAGGTG